TAGCGAGGAACGACTTTCGGGGTGGATCTATTTCCTGAACCTTACCAGAAGCATTAATTCGATTTCACAATAAACTGGGCCTGCCAATCGAATCGACGAAGACCGAAGTACAGCCAATGGAATAATCGAATTAGAACCTTATGACTAATCAAATTGCAGATGTATCCGGTGCATTGCCATGCATCTTATGAAAGAGATAACATCGCTTGCTGCTACAGTTACCAAAAATGCTCGACGCCACCCGACCGTAAAGGAGAAGCGGATGGTCGCTATCAGATGTGATCCGATACTATACATATGTTACATTCGCCAAAGACTCTGCATCACAGTGTTTGTTGATGCGATTTTGCTGTGGCATCATTGTACTAGTATTCACTGTGAGTATCTTTACTGCTAGTTCAAGTAAAACAAATCGACGTCGACAATTTCTGGTAGATTTGACACTGGATTTGACACGTCGTTTGTCGAATCTACCGAAAATTAGTTGCGAATTAAATTTCACCAAAATATAATAGAGCGACGTATTGAAAATTTCAATGACAGTTCGAAGGGTTCGTCTTTTCGCCGATTAAAAGAGGGAGGACTTTGTCAGCCGTCGCATCCAAACCCGCCCATAATACTGTACCGGGTACCCACAACACATCGCTGGCACGAACATCCTTCCTTCGGCTTTCCGGGATCTATCAGCATTAGTGGTAGCATCGCCATAGCCCGTGTGCGATTGTCAAGACTTCGTGGTATTTCTATTCTTTATGGCTTATAGAAAATGTAGTAACGTTACTTCGAAGTTGAGTTCATTGTGTGCAATGCTATATTATTGGAGATGCATGTATTTAATACTATACCTGATCTCCCGTCGCTATCAGATGTGATCCGATACTATACATATGTTACATTCGCCAAAGACTCTGCATCACAGTGTTTGTTGATGCGATTTTGCTGTGGCATCATTGTACTGATTTCCCCCACTAATCGAAACGGTGGCATTTGACAATATTCCACAGTATATTAAATGTCACAGTTACAATTTATCAAAGTATATCACCGTCATGGTT